CAAAGGCTACTTCATTGCGCTCCAATGATCTATATATTCCGGGGCTGGGTTTTACCAAATGCAACTCGCAGCCCCCGGCGAGGGGAGGGCGCCTGCGGAGAGCCGCGAGGAGGGAGGGACCCGAGCGCCGGGGCGGAGCGTCGCGCTCCCCCCGCCCCTACGGGGACTTGGTCGCGTCCAGCTGTTTCCCGGGGAGTGCGGAGCGCGCGCCGCGCTCCCGCAGGGTCCCAAAAGCCCTCAGTCCCCGGCAGGCTGGGCCGCCGTCTGGAGGTTGTGTCAGCGTTTCCATGACAAAACCCGGAGGAAAAAAATACGAATAAAATCGCCTCGGCGCTGCCACCCACTCGTGCCGGCGTTTGTAGCGCGAAGNCGCGAAGTGGCGGGAGCCGGGGGCGCGGAGGGGTCTGTGGAACTGCGACGCCTTCAAATCCCTGGGCAGACCTGGCCGCGGGAAAGTTGCTCCCGGCCCCCCGGGAGCCAGTACCCTTTCCAGGCGCTCGGAACAGGGAGGTTTCGTTTTTCTTTCAAAGGGCAGCCCAGCTTGAGCGACGTTTTGGAGAGGGGTTAAAGAGGCTGACTTCAGGTCAAGGTTAGGGAAACCGCAGGCGACGGCCCAGCCTTCCCGGGGGTTTATGCCGAGTCTCCGACACCCACCCCTCCCTCCACAGGGCAAAAGGCGTCTGTGGATTTTAAAACTCCGGCTTCCCAAAGGGTAGAGCTCCCTCCAGATAATCCAAAGTGCACACGATCCCAGCAGGGTGGACGTGAACGTGGGAGGATGCCCCCCGCGAAGTCACTCTCCTCCAAATCAAAGAGCTGCTGGAAACACCAAGGCCGCCTTACCATCTGAAGGTAAATGGAAACATGGTGTTTGCTTTCTTGTACTATGTGATTTTAAATGTCCAGTTCCATGCATTTCAGCTGTTTAGCAATCAATAAAGTGGATGCAGGCTAACAGTGTGGAGATCACAGGCCCACCAGCCCAGTCCCCTGCCCAGAATATAAGACCTGGTTCTTCTGCCCTTTGTGGTTTCTGTGAGCAGAGTTAGGCACTGTCATATCCTTTTATTTTCCTTATAAATTTACACAGTGTTTTTAAAAGTTAAAAGATTATTTAAATTCTAACAATAATATATACCAGGAAAAATATTATTATAAAGACTATCCGACTTTTGTGCCATATTATCAAATCGTTACTACTATAACTTAATGATGAAACAAGATAATGTGTCTTTCAATGCCTCTCACATAATAGGCATTTGACAAATACTTATTGAATCGGAATGTAATGGGCCTTATCCTCTCAATACATCAGACACAACTTGCAAACAGATACACGCAGCAGAGACCGCCTCTGTATCCTCAGTTCCCTTCCCCCAAAGTTTTCCTCCTGCAGTCATAATGAGGGGAAGAGTAAGGAAGTCAGCAGCCTTGCCTTTGATTACAGAAGACAATCAATTACAGCACAATATTTATATAGACGGTTTGCACTATATCAATTTGTACTCACTCATGAATGAGTTGCTTGCTAAAGGCAGCAGAGCTGAACAAGCTCCGGTACAAAGTAATTCTCCAGTGATTTTCCTTAACTCCTGCTTTTACAGAAGGGGGGTCGGGGGGAGGCGGCTGTGTGGAAGGGATTTGCTCCCTGCTCATCCAACTGGTCCATCGCTTTCCAGGGAAGAGACCACACTGTACCTATACAAAGGCCTGGACATGCATGAGGCAGTCTGGGAAGTCACAGGGCCAAGGGAGAGCTCAGATGTCAAATCCTGGTGGGTCATGGAAGGGTCGAGTTGGCCCACATGGTGGGGAAGGATGGTAAGCCATGCCTAGCATCCATTTTTGCATTCCCACAATCAGGAATTGGCCCAAACATACAGGGAGGGGTAAGGTTCTGACAGGTAAACTACCACCTCTTCCAAGAAGCCTGCCCTGATTTCTCACCTGAGGTGGCCCCTTTCCTCCTCTGTGCTTTAAGCACTAGATCCAAACTCCTCTTGAGTCACTGTATCCACTAGACTGAGTTATATTCATCTCTCTCTCTCTCTAATGTTCAGCATAGTGGCTGGCACCCAGTAAGTACAAATAAGTCAGAGATGGAGAGGTGATGCCTTCTTGGGCTAGGAAGTTAAACTAGTTGTTCTATATATATTAGGGGTGAGGTAAAAGTAGTGTCACTGCTTTCTTTCCATTATTATCCTAACAAAACTTGGTTATATTTTTTATGCATGCTACATGATAAATATTGATCAGATAAAGGACAGTGTTGACTTATAAAACTGCAGAGAAGGGATATTTGACATTTTGAACTTTGAAGAGAGGGAAGCAGACGTCTGCCTCTCAAATCAAGCTTCTTGTTTTCCCAGTGTACCAGTCAGGATGGGCTGGTTATGCCGCAGTAACAAATAAGCCCTAACTTCAGTGGCTTAAAGCAAGCAGAGCTCATGTCTCACTCCACCTGCTGTGGGTCCGCAGAGGGGCTTTACACCGGGTACAATTCAGCAATCCAGCCCAGAGGAAGCACGTGTCACTCTGTTCATCATTTATCAGCCAGAACTACTCACATACTGCTCCTCACCACACCCAGGCCAGGAAGTCAGAGAGCCTAGAGTACCTGGGGTATAGACTTCCTGGCTGCAACTTCCTAATCCCTTTCCAGATCTTATTTTCCCTCATTTTTCTAAATTCCGTTTTACCCCAAGGGCTTCTGCAAATTGGCACTGTGCTCATCGTGGGGCTTCGCTTAACCTTGGTTGATCGTTAGGCATGAACCTTACTCTCCAAATGAAACAACATGCAAGTGAAATTGGGGCCTGTCTGTGTCAACGCACAGTGTGGCCCTGAAAAACGTGTTGAGGAAAAGACCTATGTACGCTGACCTCAGATAATTCATAGGAGAGGAAGAAATGGATGCAAAATCCAAATTCCGGCTCGTGTGTGCCATCAGCAGTGAACAGACAGATATTCACCAGGCCCTCCGGGACCTGCAGGCTGAGTGCTACCTCGTTCCTACAGATGACGCCTTCAGTGCACTGTCTTGTTGAGATCTTACAGGACTGGCAGCCATGGCCCTGTCCGCACGTCGTGGGGGCGAGGAGTGGGCCCAAGGCCCTGGGAGACAGAGAGCTCCTTAGCATCCTTGGGGGAGGGCGGCATCTGTCCTGCCAGCCCCAGCCAGGGGCCCCAGATTGGCTCCTCTGAGGACTGGCTTTGCCCATTTGCATCTCTCTGTCACCTCCAGCACAAAGTATGCTCAGTTACCCAGAACACAGTAAATATTTGTGGAGTTGAATTAAAAAACATTTGTCCACAGCATGTGGAGATCTCAGGGTACAAATTTTCTACAGGTAGGTAAACCGCAGGTACACAGTGGGTTACTCAGGACAGCTCTGAGAGCAGGCTTTACTTTATTTACAGGCTTTCCAGAACATGGAGGGGAAGAGAGAAATGGATGGAAGAAGGGACAGAGAAATAGGAAGAAGAAAGAAGAGAGGATGGGATGAAAATACGGGAGAGCAGAGAGGAGGAAAGAAATGCCCATTGCTACCGTTTCCCTACCTGACCTTGCCTTGGCTTCTCCGCCAAGGTCAGGCCCAGAGACTCCTCTCCCTCCCTTCCGAGGAGGGAGGGCTGCTGGACCTGGACACTACCCCATGCCCCCTCCACCTGCCTCCTAGGTCGCCTCCGTGACCCTCCAGGCTCTACTCTCTGAGCTGC